GTTCTTAGATGCAGATAATTGTTTACCTTTAAATATCTAGGCACTAGTTGGCTAATATACTCGTACTTGTCAAATTAAATTTAAAGATTCAGTGAATCTGAAGAAATGAGGTTGTATAATAACCCGAACTAAGTCGAGAGCAGAACTTAAGTCATTAACGAAAATAGGTCACAATAATAATTCTTAGTTTTGTACTATTGTTCTGGGGTTTTGTGAAACAGACACAATGCTCAGGGTGTAAGTGTGTATGAGTGTTGTGTCACAACAGCAAAAGTTATGAGTACAATACTTATTTTGAGTAAAACAACATTTCGAGTAATTTCTTTTGAGGCTCCTACATTACGCGGACACACACTAAGCCGGTTTTTTAAATTGAAATACATATTATTGTTTAATGGTTAAAGCCTCTTCATAAGGACTGATTTACAAAAGCCTATTTAAGTATTTTTGTATACGTATTTTAGTTGTTGTTGCGAAAGTTTGCGTTGTTGAAACTACACACTTATTTTTCTTTAATAATCTTACCACATTCAGTACTAGTGCAGCAACAACACATAAATATACATAAACTAATAAATATTTTATATACATACAGAATTCCCAACCGTACGTGAATTCGAAATACATTAAAGCCGAGTAAAATAGTTATAGCCAATTCGTAGCACTTGCTACGCGTCGACGTCGTAGTAACGTCTACGGTTGCTACGATTTACAGTGCGGGCTCGGTAGGTTTATTAAAATCATGAATATAATAATGTTATTGAAATCAAATCTATGACTTTATGAGTTAAGTTTGTTTGAAAACTGAAGTCTCAATTTTGTGAAGTCGATTTAGTACGTTTATCGTAGTTCATTCTCTTTGCTTTTTAATATAATATGGCGACCGGATGGCGTAGTGGTTTGTGTAACGGACTCCTAATTCAAAGGTCGCCGGTTGGATTCCCGCTCAATTCATGTATGTGTATAAACATTTAATGTTTGATTTCGTCTGGGTGTTTCTGTGTATAATATGTATGTATTTACAAAAAAAGTATACATGTATTTATATCAGTTGTCTAGTACCCACAGTACAAGCTCTGCTTAGTTTGGGACTAGATGGCGTTGTGTGAATGTGGTTGAGTAATATAACTTATATTGTGCTGAAAATTGAAAAATGATCAGATTTTGGTAGAGAAACTTTAAATTACTTAATAATTTTTACCGTTTTTATTTACCTTACTTGTGACTAACAAACTTACAAACTGATAGACTATACATAAAGAAATTTAGAATGTAATTTAAAAAGCTATCCGGATGAAATATTGTATGTATAATAATACATAGAATGGGCCGGCTCGACCGGAGTGATACCACGGCCTCACAGAAAACCCGGTGCAATTTTTTGTTGTCTTTCACTGAGTGAGTGAGGTTACCGAAGCCCAAATGCCCCCCCTCACCCGGTGACTCGAGCGGGAGGGACTCCAAAGGCAGCAACGCACTTGTGACTTTTGAATTGCAGGTGTCCATGGGCGGCGGTAGTTGCTTACCATCAGGTGCTCCGTCTGCTCGTTTGACCCCTTATACCATAAAAATAACAATTTAAATATATAGTTTAGAGGAAAATACTGTAATTTGGCAGTTTGGAACTGACCTGATGATGCAGCCACGGATGGGGACAGTATACATATGATGTGTTTTAACGAGTCGAGTTTGGCAACGATGTCTAATTTTGAATCCAAGAATTGTGAAGTAGTGAAAAAAAATTGTTTTTTACTTGGTCAACTATTAACACTTGACTTTTAGTTTCTTGCAGTTCGTGAGTTTTGTTTTTTATAGCTAAGTTACGAAAATGACTGATTCACTTAATACTTTGTAGATAAATTCTTAGAATGTTAATAAAAACATTTGATTCGGCCAACGGCAAATACTATCCGTATACGATCCTTTTTTTCTTATCCGGATTTAGGATCCGGATAAATGCCAGATATATTCCGTAACTGTAACAACATTTTCTGATGATCATATTTTTCTCGAAATAATTAAGTTTTTATCGCCTACTAAATAATAAACCTACACGATGTAACTATACTATAACAAAGGGTAACTTTATATATTTTATAAAATCTTGTTTATTATAAAAGTACCATCAAGTTCACAATCCCCCGTAATGAACACCTCAAAACCCAAAGATGTAATTCTTTTCAGCGGTTTTCAGTTTCAGTAATATTTCATATCGAAACAAAAGACCCTTAAAAAGGAGGTCGAGTGAGGGACGGTATGAATTCACTCCGCGATTGTAGGCCTGCGGTCCTCTTGTTTGAAATCATACTTTTTTAATTGAATCTGGATTTGGTAACCATACGTTTGTAAGACAAGTGAAGCTACAATACAATTGTCTCTCTATCCGCTTTTTTGCTTTCTGTGCATGGTTGTTTATTTCGTATTATTTGCACGATGACTGTACGGATGGCGTAGTGGTTTAAGCGGTCGCCACGCCGCTTCCTACTACGCCGAGTGTTGTGGGTGGGACCCCACATGGGACTGGGTGTTGTTTGTGTCCGTTTCATGTATGTTTGTAAAGTCCCCCGCGACACAAGATATAATTCTGTCTTATTAAAAAAAAATTGTTTGAATTCGTAAAAAAATCTGGCATTCTGCAGTGCCAGTTTTTCTTTCCTAATTTGAAAAAGGAGATTCTTAAGTCGACTAAATATTTCTTCTATATATATCTTCGCCATTTGTAAAGAGATTGCAATAATTATGTTTTAAATAATGAAATCGATTATTTTCTTGGGTAGTCCATTTTAAATTTGAAGAAAATATTCTTCCTATAGGAGTGGTGGAACATTAAGCTAAATCAAGAGTATAGCTTATAACAATTTATCATGATTCTGGTATATCGAAGTAGGTCATACATTTTTACAAAGTTAATCAATTGGATAACAACAATATTTAATGAGATTCTATCATCAGTAGAAGTATAAAAATTATATTCTTATCCATTCTGTAGTCATGATTTTTCATGGTAATTATAGGTGTAAAATGAAGAACTGAAAAATTCAAGATTTTTTTTTTTAATTTAACCGACAGTGACTTGTCAATCAAATACTTTTGAGATGAAGTCCCGATTTGTACATCGCAAAAGTTATAAAATCTGTATAAATATAATTTTATACCATTTCAGGATCACTAAGTTATCAAATAAAAAATTTATTTAACATTCTGCTGATTTATTTACGTTTCAATCGTGTCTATTTTTTCACTGGACCAAACTCGTTTCACTAAAAGTAAATAAAAAGCACTCTACTGCAATAGCTCTCAAAATTTTGGGCGTTATTACATTCAGTGCAATCTATGCAACCAGTAAAAGCCGAACACTGCGAACTGAACACGCGAACTTGACTACAGTTAGTTAGGTCTCAGTGTTGCCAACTTTGGGGTGTTACAATACAATTCAAGGATGAATAAGAGATACAGGCTTTCTTAAAGGGAATTTTTTGTACGGGTTTGTTCATGTAAACTGATGTTGAGCCCCACTTTGAATGGCAATTTCGATTATTGAATCTGTTTTTCATAGTTCAACAGATACCTATCATGGTGTTCTCTTAGTATATATTAGTTTAAGTATGTTTTAGTATTTTTATAACCGACTCCAGAGAAGAAAATTTAAGTCGATGGCTAAACTTTTACTTTACATACCCATATAGCGATAAAATATTATTTCCCAGGTTCTTTCCTTTTTAATTCAAAGTTTAAAAAAAATCGTCAATTCAAAAATAATGCTTTTCATACAAAAAAAAGTTTTTTAAAGGTCAACTCACAATCCTATAAGAAATCTTTTATCAAGTTGAGTCAATATTGAGTTACTGAAAGTAAGATTAGACATTGTGAGTTGATACAAATACAATTTCAAAAGAGATTTGTATTTTGATTTGATCGATCATGGGATTAGTTGATAGAGATGTCAAAATTTACTTCCAAATCGTCAAAAATCTAATCAGAGACAAGTAATATTTTCTTTGAAACTTGAACAGATTTGACATTTTGATAAACCATTCAGAAACCGAGTGTTAACCTTTCTTTTCACTGAACGAGTGACCCTTAAACTGCGGCTGAACCACTTTTGACAATTACTTTAAATGGTGTGAAATGAATTTTCTTGATAGTCTCTAAATTGCGAAATTCGCCACTTTATAGTTACTTTAAAAGTTTTGCGAACTTTTGCGAAGATATCCAGTAGCTTTCTGTTACTCATCATCAAATTTTATTTCTTCTTTTTAAGGATAGAAACGAGTAATTTCTATATTATATAAAATTGTTCTCAAAGAAACAGGGACAGGAAGCCACTGTAAATATTCTACAAATTCTTATTTCAGTTTTTTTAATGTAATTTATTGTTGAAAATGAGAGAGCAAGAGTGAATATAATCAGCGAGTATAGCTTAATAGAAGGCACATTCAATAGTTTGAAAGAAAACACCCTCAGATAAGTACACTTCATAATTTTAACTTTATACTTATCTACTTCCCACAAATTTAACAATTTTCATTTTCAGCGACGCTTTTAAAAAGTTCAGAGTGTTGTCTCAGAGTTGTGAGGACAGGCGCCTCGCACGAACTCCACGTATTGGATTATTCAATAAAACCTTGTAAACATTATAAATTCCCAAACAGGCGACCGCACGATTGAGACACGCACAAACTTCCCTCGGCACTTACCAACTCTCGCTAACACCACTCCACATTATAATATCTCTTAATATCCATGTGGCGTTTTAAATATAATCATATTTCGAACAATTGAATTTGCCCAGATCTCGATAGTAAACCGCAATTTTATTCCAATATATTCTGATATTAACACTATCAAATCAGTTGCCAGCAATTATGTTAAACACAATTTATACCATAATTCAAGTACTCCGGATGTGTAAATAAATATATTTATCGTTTCATATGAAATTGTGCCAAAAATGACATGATTTCGTAGAACTTGTTAATTGTAGTTATATTATATTAATATCAACAGATTGCAACACTTGCCTGGCATACCTGTGAGAAGCGCTCCTGGGCGTCAAGGATCTCGATAAACAGGGACAACTTTTGATCCATGATCGGGAAACCATTTCGAGGCTGCATAAGGAGATGTCGAACCGCTTCTCGCACAGCTGCGGGTGTGCTTGGGGTTCCGGGGGTACCCAAAGTCGGGTACGGCCCGACAAGCCCAGATAAACCATGAAAGGTCGCTGAAGTCTTCGGCGGATTATTAACACCACCCGGTAGCGACAAACGGCGCGACGTGGACGGTGGCACCGCGCCGTAACCGTTCGTCATAATCGCCGGCCTTTGCAACTGGTAATCACTTCTCGAGGACGGTAGAAGGGAAGCACGCGGAAGCGTGGCCATGCCCGGCGGCGGTACCCCAGGTCGCGGTCGACGTGGCACCGGCGCCAGAATCGGCACAGGTCCCCACTCATCGTCAACGGCGCCGATGGAGTGTGGCCGTCTAGCAAGCTGGTTTACCACGGGTCGCGGTGATATCGCACTGGTCGGACGACGCGGCCGCCGTTCGCCGTGTATCGGGTTCGGTGGGGTATACGGACTGAAACCATCGAAGTCTTTAAGGTGCTGCGGTTGTTGGCGAGAGTCGGGCGCGGGCGGTGGCGGATCGTCCCAGCGCGGCCAGGCTAGCGCTAGCGAGTTAGGCTTACGGGGCGGCGGCGGCCGTGGCCTGGCCGCCCCCTCGGTCATGGCGGCCTGCGCCGGCAGCGCGTCACATGGCGCAACGTCCGTCGCGCGCGGCGTCCGCCGGTCGACTGCCGCCGCGACGCCTGCATCTCATCTCGTCGCTCTGCATCGACGCACTCTCTGTTTTGGTTTGAGTACAATTTTTCACAGCTTCTCGTTTGTTTGGGGACGTGCGTGAGTTACACGATGCTTGTTGTTATTTATTCATTAGCTAAGAACTTCATTCAACAGAATATCCGCAGGAGAAACGTTTGTTGGTATCGTATATTACGGAGTTTAAATACTTTTTGTGTATCAAACGTGTGGATACTCGAAAATTCCTTGACTAAAATAAAAACAAGGTAATTAATCGTATATGTAACTTGGGCAAGACATTTATTATTCTTTTTTAAAGATTTGATTACCTAAAATTATTTAAAGTTTGAAGCGTATTTTTTTTCTCTAACAATATTTTAATATTAAACTTAGGGCTAACATAAAATTACTATATAATTTCTGAACCATTCTGCTGCGACAACGGGTCCATAATACCCCACCGACGATGCTGAAATATCGTTCCCTTCCGCCTTACCGCTACACTCGCAGCGCTGTGTCGAACGCTTTCAAACTTAAGATTTATTCTCATTATACCTGTTCACGCGCTATTAAAACTGTTATAAAAATGCTTATGAGAGAAACTCGCAGAGGAGCTATGCTTAACGATACGGCAGCTGTTGTAGTTTTATCGTTACTGCATTTCTGTTACTATTATAATCGCCACATATTGGAATGTTCAAGTAACAATGCCTTCAAAAATAGTCAAGCATTTGTTTTTATAACTTATAGTGCATTGCCACGACTATTACAACCTGTTGTTATAACGTTAGTGAAAAGCCTCTTTATTAGGTTACAGTTAAGGTTGTTTTTCTTTCCATAGGAGCAGACAATAAATATATATTATATTTATAAAATATTTAACAACTCTCACAGAGAGGTATATCTTTATTCATGAAAGCTGCGAGCAGAGAAACCGCTACTAAAGATTTTCTCTTGGGAATCTACAGTGTATTTAACTGTTTATTTTTTAAACTATGTTGACCTTTCAATATTAACTTAAATATAAATTTACACATAGAAACTCAAACTCAACTCCATTCGTGGCAAGCCACTTGCTTCTGTCCACGCATACCTCAACATTCCCTACTGTCACATAACATCTAAAATAAGCTCGCTGGTTCCAGGTGCTTCTACTTTTCCTTCCCCAATTTGACTTACTGACTGTTTATACATACGTAGCTATACCTTAGTATGAATGATACTTAACCACCTTTTCAATTATCACTGCGCCAGTATATTTGTTTGTTTGTTATGTTTTCAGAACCTAACCACTCCATCAATCGTCATGTAATTTTGAATATAACAGATATGGGTGGAACTATACTATACAGGGATAGAAAAATTACTTTTACGTGAGCGAAGCCGAGGGACAAAACTAGTGATAAATAAATACTACTTAAGCGTAGAGTGGATGCAACGAACTTTAAACATCTGTAACGTACCTCAAGTGGTGTTATTTCAGTACGTTCCTTCGCTGCGGCCCGTGCGGCCGATACCAATTCTTATTTAAGGGGTTTTTATTAATAGCTCACGTATTCAAAGGGTTATTTATGGAGAATAATATGGTGGATGTTAAATGAATACGTTTTGAGTGTGGTTATGGGTTGTGTTAGAACAGATTTAAAATAATTTGAGTAATCGTTTGAATGAGCTTTAAATGGAATATGAATCGATACGAATACAAACGAACCAACTTTATCGCAATCAACACAATACCCAGTTAGCAATAAAACATATTGCTTTGGATTTAACTTGTAAAAGTCCATAACTGCTAAGCTGGAGGTCGTAGGTTCGATTCTCACCCAGGACCAATATTGTGTGATGAGCACCATCATTTGTTCTGTGTCTGGGTGTAATTTATTTATGATATGTATGTATTTAGAAATATATAAGTATGTTTATTAGCAGTCTGGTTACCATAATATTGGCTCTGCCTAATTTGGCAGCAGGCGGCCGTGTTCAGATGTGTGAGGTGAGTATTAGTTTCTTGATGAGTTGTAACGTCTGACATCAATATATTTTGAATCCTACATTAGTTTAATAATAAAATACATACATATGTATACATACAGTCACATCTTCCGACCCGAAGTGTTAAACAGAGGCGTCTTAAGCTCCCAAACTGATTAATTTAAGTCCCATTTAAGAGATGGAGGGCATGCAGTCATAGGCGTCAATCAGGCACATACATTTCAAAATAAACATTGTTGTATGCTAGCTGGTACTCAAGTCCATGAGGCCTCGGGTTCGATTCTCAGACCGGGCAAAATTTTATAGAGTTTATATTTATGGTGAAATATTTTTCAAAATCGGTCCAGCTCTTTTGAAATTTATTTGGAACAAACAGACAGACAGACAAGCAATATATAATCATATTTAAACTGGTAATAATAATATAAGAATAATATTTAAACTAGAAGCATAGGTCGATTCCTATGCTTAAAAACCAGTTTAAATATTTTTAACTATGCAAATAACCGCGTGAACATGAAAGAAACTTATTATTTTGATATTACAAACAGGCACTTCAATTTTATTTATTTGTATAGATTGCTAAATAACATTCAGATACAGGACAAATCTGTCATCACACAATTATTAAGCATGGGTGGAAATCGAAACCACGACCTATGCTTCGTTAGTCAAGAGTTACTTTTAGATGATTTATATTAACAATACTAGCGAACCGGCCCGGCTTCGCACGGATGCAATGTATGACATAACATTACAAATCTTTGGAATTCTAGGATTTTCTCTACTATAATATGCATGTACAAATTTTCTACCCTATTTTATAAGGACTCCTTCTAATCACTTATGGGGCTTTTTAAGAAAAGTTTTGAAAAATTTGTAAAAACTTTTTTTTTTATTACTTTTAATAAAGAGACTTACTGCGAGTTTGAAAACGCTACTACCAAAAATAACGAAGTTTTATAGAAATTCGATAGATCAGTCTGCCATTTTCTTCTTTTATAGAAATAGATTTTAAGGCTAATCTCAGTAATCTAACTACAATCATTTTAATACATCATCGTACAAATATGCGACACCATTATTACCTCACTAGGGTATACCTTACCCGATACGTCGTTACATTATTGACCGCATAACTTGTACCAATAACAGTATAATAAGGAGAATATCCGAATCATTACATTCAAGTGTCAATAACAACCCTTACAACAGTTAATAAACGTCATTACCCCATGGCAGGTATGGGGGAGGTACCGCATTAACCCGTCGTCTGCCCATAGTGGACGTTAACGGGTTGTGAATGCGCTACCTTTGTCGATAATGGCAACCTCGTCTCGTAATGGTTATTATTGTATGTAACGGTTTGTACTTTAAATGTGAAAATGTATTAGTACAATTTGTATTATTTTTACACGCTTTATATTAGCTTCACTTGTATGTTTGTTTGTATGTTTGTAAGCGACTCCTATGGGCGTGCTTTTAACTGACTTTAAACGGTCAGAATTCGTTCCAACTTTGTAGATATATCGAGAACCGATGACAATACACTAATTAAAAAAAAAATAGTTTTAAAAAACTAAAAAATCAAAAACCAAACTAAAAAATAGAAAATAAATTTGAAAAAAGCGTTGGGTGCTAGTTGTCAATAGTAAAAGGCACCCCACGCTTTTTTTCAAATTTATTTTCTATTTTTTAGTTTGGTTTGCTATAGAAAGCTTGTTTTTTAGTTTTTTTAAGCTAAATTTTTTTCTGCTGAGTTTAGGATTGAGTAAGTGATCGGTTGTGTTTTTATTAATTTATGTTAGAAAGGGGGGTTATAAATTGTGGAATCACACACAAATCACACATTCAAATATCTACAAAACAATATATTGGAAAAACATCTTTGATTTACACAATTACTGTATATTGGTATAGGACAGGTTTATTGATAATAGCAGAATCACTACTTCGCCGAATATTTAAATATATCTATTCAAAAAGTAAGTTTTAAAATGACTGTCAATGAAAAGAATGATTTTCAAAATAAGACATGTTAACCGGATTGCTAATGTCTCTAAGCGTACGTACAAGTAGGTATGTTTAAAGCCTTAGTATCCAATTTATTTCAACTATTCCCCAAAAAACGTTTTACATTAATATTTCAAGAGAATATATCCGTAAGCTCTCGTGTATTATATTTCGTATATTAAGCCGCCAAGCATGAACTTGAGGCCTTCATCCCTCCCTCTCTAAAAGCCTTTTCGGTACCAAGCCTTATATTTTCATACATTTTATTAAACATCTTGCGGGATAAACACAACATCCACATCCCTTACCACGTCCTAAGTAAAAAAAAGTCTCAAAAGAAAATCCCTTTTTAATCCCGCCATAAACAAAATCAAGGGAAAAGGGGATTCTAGAGATCAAAGGGAACGAACCAAAAACGAGCGAGGCCCGTATACGTAATTCCTTAATAGGATATTAGGAATCCGTGAGACGCAATTTTCATATGAAACTATAAATCAATTTAGCCTCGAGGAAAGGGATAAACGGCCCACTGGACAGAATTCCTGTCTGTGAAGAGATGGGAAACAAGTAAAAACTTTTTATCGATGTTTCTTAAATGAGAAATTTTTAATAATACAAGTTTAGACAATCTTTTGTGGAATTGGGATAATTGCGTTCGCAAAACATTTTATTGTTGTTTTGTTTTTTGCTTAAGCTTTATAAACGACACGAGTTTTGGAGGTATATCATAAATTTTCTGCTGGAAGGTCGGAGGGAGCTTAAAAGCTCTGAAAATTTCTGAATTTACAAATTTAATAGTTTAGACAAAACAAGTTGACTTCAAAGATATACTCATTTCTAAAATAAATTAAGTAGAAGTAGAAGTAAAAAAACTTTTATAAATTAATAACTATAAATTAAATCGTGGTAGTGTCTATACAGCAACGATAGAGGGCGCGCTTTGCATAAATGTGTCAATTTGCATTAATTTGCTTGTTTTTGCATATATCATACATACACCTACTGAGATTAAACTATTACCTAAGTTGGTTAATCCTAACCCTTAAAAAAAATACAATATTTTCTTGAAATTCGCATATTAATAACTGCCAATTACAAATATAAACCGTATTAATAAGTTTAATACTTCTAAAAACTAAATGAGGATAATTATTCTTCTACGATATCAAAGCCCCGAGAATAGGCAAAGCGTAGGACATCCCTACAATAGATGAGCCGACAAGTTGGTCAAAGTGCCTCAAACCGTTTGATAGACGTTGGCCTCAGACCTTTTATTATGGGTCTAAATTCCAACTTCAACTTTATATACTTGAACCACGTAATCACTTATATTAATATTTTATTTTTAAACTTCAGGCATCTTACTAATTTCAAAGTTGTAAAATCACACTAAACTCATTGTTATTAGAGGCTAAATGTTATATTTGAATGAGGTATGAGATCAAAAAGTGGGCCTTAATCAAGGAGTGTCATGATGATTAGTCATCATCACATCATCATCACATCAACAGCCTTTAATAGTCCACTGCTGGACATAGGCCTATCCTTAGAAAGGAGGTTTTGGCCTACTATACCGCGCTGGCCAGACGGGTTGGTATTTTTTTCGGGTTTGTGTCAAGTTTGCTGTGCTGTTGTGCTGCGTAGTTTACACACGAACCATTTGTGATGATTTGTGATCCATAATAATTATAATTATGAATCCAATTCACAAGTATTGTTACATAAATTCGTTTTTAAAAGCATCTTGCCATTAAACCCACTTAGACCATAAATCCTACCGATGAATTTCTCAAAGAAAGTAATTGACAAACATATGGCTGTCTAATTCCAAACGAGACAGGGTCTGTATTAAGACAACCAAACTGATGATAAATATACTTATATATTACTAAACACATACATATTAAAGTCAAATTACACTCAGACACAGAAAAAATAAATGTGCGTACACAATCATATGTTTTTTAGAACTCTGTTAATTTATTTCCAGTAAAGACAGAAAATTCAAAGTCAATATAACTTTGAAACGAAACCGCAATAATTAGTATTGTTTTGTTGAAATTTTTAATGAATTAATATTAGGCCGGCTTTCTTTTACAATATGAGTTTGTTGTACTTTGTTTGTTTAGGTACGAAATATCATCCGTTTGTTTTAAATTTTGACAGATATTATGGTTTAGTGGTTAATTGTCCTGACTGCTGAGCCAAAGTCCATGGGTTCGATTCCCACACCAATTACTGTATGAAGAGCACGATCATTTGTTGTGTGTGTGAGATCAGCCGTGTCTAAGATTAAAAAATAATAATTGTGGCAACGAAGCATCAAGTTACGAGTTAATCAGAGAATTAAGTACTTGAAGTTGTAATCCTCGTGACATTAAGTGTGATAGAAAAACTCTTTTCTTTCTTTCTTAATAAGCGATTCGGCAAGAGTTAGGCATGTGTAAAGAAGGTAAAGTTTTGACGTTTAACATAACACAAATATTGTGGAAATTGATCTCACAATAGTAGTCAGACGTAGACATCAATCAAAATAATAAAAATAGATATTTATTACAAAATAATTATATCTTACCATTAAGTAATTCAATATCAAACAATCGTAGTTACATATTACCAATACACACCCCCTTAATTGAGAAATTTGCGTCACTACCCTGAACAATAGTTGACCGAATCTTAATATAATATATAATACCCCCTGAACCCGCTATTACAGAAACTATTTACACTTCACTTCACACTACGTTTACAATCTTAACTCAATTATTAAAATAAGTTTGCTTTGAAATTTACTCATTAAGTTATGATAAAGTTCTTAATACTTTGATAAATTATTATAATATTCAAGAGAAAACTTATTTATACTTTAAGCACCGAATAACATAGAGTAATAGGTTCGCTTTTCGAGACACTTTTTGTCTCGTACAACCAATCTGTGGGTAGTACCGTCTGCGGTATTTCCGGACCGATACGAACTTCAAACCTTCAAGAAAAGAGCGTACTTTTGCCTAAAAGGCCGGCAAGGCGTTTGTGACTCCTGAGTTGCAGATGTTCATGGGCGGCGATGGTCACTTTCCATCAGGTGACCCGTCTGCTCGTCTCGACACGGTTTCGTCCCAGTCTCTTTAAGCTACTGTAGTCTTAGTTTCCTTTCTCCATCCAAAACTTTGGGAGAGCTATGCTTTGGCTCAACCGACTCGACCGGAGTCATTCCACAGCTTCAGAGAAAAAAGGTGACAAGATTTATTTTCTTTTTGTCTTGCCGAAAATCAATTGAAGTGGCTTGCAATAGGAGAGGCCTTTGTCCAGCAGTGGACTGCGATAGGCTGATGATTATGATGATAAAGCAATTCGTATGTGAGGTTACTGGAGTCCAAACAAATCCTCGCCCTGATTCCATATTACGTATGAGGAAGGCTCTAAAATGTGAGTTCTAGTATATGAGTGCACCTTATCATCAAGAGCTATTGGTAACATTACCCACTCCAACAACCCACCATTCCCACCATTCCTTCCTCTTTTATCTATCTTTCCTGTCAATACACATAGGCAATGAAAGCGTTTATTTAAAAAGAACTATTAAGAATCACAGAATGCGCAGCCGCCCTATGTCTCATCCCCTTTTAAATGGGGGGGAAGTAGGGTCTGCCCCCCATTCAAAAGGGTTTGGGGCTCCGGTCACCTCACACACTCGGTGAAAAGCAACAAAAATGGCTAAACATATGTGGGTCCTTGGTATCACTCCGGTGATTTGTGAAGCATGGCTCTTAATTTTATCAGGAGAGAGAGAGAGAGAGAGAGAGAGAGTTAGATTTATTTCTAATACGCTTTATCCAAGTCCTTCAGTTTATTGTTAGAAGCACGATCATTACATGTCGGCGTTAGATTGATTACGTACGGCTCTTGAGGACGAAACGATACGCAGGGTGATTGAGGGTGTTAAGGCTGAATAGTTAGATGGTTATCAATAATGTTTAAATATCAATATCGGCCGTTAAATATTGCTGATAGGTGTTTAAAAATACGTTAACAATGTGCCTATTGTGGTTTAAGTATGATACGAGAACTTAAACTAATACAAAAAGTTATTTTTTGTTTGATATTATATGTGTTGGTTAGACGAGCAAATCTTTAGAACTTGTGGGCAAATTTAAAAAATAAGATCTGTTAACTAAACTAGGGTCTAAAACTGCAATCTTCTCGCTCTCTGAAAGCCATATAGGTAAACCAAAGTATTAGGAAAATATTTTGTCAATCTTTTATAC